ACTGAAGAACCTCTCTGCTGTCAAAACAGTTACACCAGACACCCTTTCAGGGTTTAAAGGATTTCTATTGGGACTTAGCTATTGTCTATCCAGGCACAGTTTAGCCATGATTAGTTCTAGACTTTACAGGGCCATCCTGATTTCAAATTACTCTTCTATTGTCTTTGCATCGTCAACATTTCTCCAAAAAAAATAAACAAATGCAGCATTAGAACGCCCAGACTCAACGTCTCAGCTTGCACAAAAGTCTGGAAGTGATTTGCAAATGTCAGACCATTTTTTGATTTAGAAAGTACTTTGGTCATTGTTTACATGATCTAGAAAAATAATATGTGGGACTATTTGCAAGCAAGGTATTCAACAAAGAATGACCGGGCGCCTGCTCTGTCTCAGGGGCTGTTCGCCATGGGCTGCGTCCTGGACCGGGGCAGGGGCAGGAAGCAGACAAGTCTCTGCCTTCATGGAGCTTATATTTTAGTGGTGAGACATTAACAATGAACAAAATAAGTAAGTGCATTAACACAGCATGTTAGAAGGTGGCGTTATACTGGAAAACAAAACGGGGGAGTGATAATGGAAGACTAGAGTGGGTTCATGGCGATGCCAAACAGGTTGGACAGGGAAGGTGTCCCTAAGAAGGTGACATGTCGGCTGATACTGAAGAAGATGAGGGAACCAGCCATGTGGAGACACGGGGGAAAGGGTTTCAGTGAAAGGAAGGGCAAGCACAGAGACTCTGGGGTGGGCGTGCGCCTGGCGTGTGTAAGGAACCGGGGGAGGCATGACTGGAGCTGGGGAGAGTGGAGGAGCTCAGAAGAAGGTCAGATCAGAGAGGCAAAGGATGCAGCAGGGTTTGTAGAGCCTTATGGAGTAAGGTGACGTGATGCCTAGGAATTCTTATTAAAATTTTTTTCCTTTAATTTTTTATTTTGTAGAAAGGCGGTAATTAGATTTATTTATTCGTTCATTCATTTAGAGTGGCAATACCGGGGATTGAACCCAGGACCTAGTCCATGCTAAGCATGTGCTCTGCCACTGAGCTGTACCCTCCCCAAGGCTTCTTGATGTTAAGGAATGTAACAAGCCTCACATCTTCAGACAGCTAGGGAGACAGGTGGTGAGGCAGGGGCTCTCAGGCCCATGACTGACCCGTGGCCCGTAGTGCCTTAGTGGCTCCACTATATATAGCTCTGCTGTGACTTGTGGATTTCGAGTCATTTAGGAACAAGAAAGACATATCCATCTGAAAATATAGTATACAAAATTATAAAAAATATAGTATACAAAAAAATAAAGTGCCTTGTGAGTTGCAGATGAGGTGCTGGCAAATAGACCTCAAGAGAGAGATAAAATCAGGCACTGAACTCAGGAAAGGGCCTGAGGAGGAAGGGAGAATGGGGCTAGGTTTTCAGCAACCCGAAGCATCTGGAAAAGAGCAGCACAAAGCAGGACGAGGCTGCATCAGCGAAGGCAGAAAGGCACAGGGCTGTTCTGCCATCTGAGGCCTGTTTGTTTTTTTTTTGACTTGCATCTTAACCACCCACCGCATGCTTTCTGCTACCCCTCTGCACCCAGAGCCACTGCTAGACCACACAGCACCTCTCTGCCAATTTGAGAAAGGCTCCCCCTCTTCCAGACACGTTGCTTCCATCTGTTAGAAAGTTATAGCGTACTGATGTTGTGAGAACAAGATGCTTTACGCTTTACTGCCATCTGCCAGAACGTCGAGATAAAACACACACACGGCGTCTACTATAGGGGCGCGTCCTCCCGGGCTGCACACTGCCCGCGATGCATAGAGCCGTGTGTGGCCGCTGTGTACGTGTTGGAGGAGTTGGGAATAAGGCTAGGCCAGAACTCTTCTCTCTACCCTGGGGCTGCCCAAAATGACCAGGGGAAATCTCATGGCCATGTTCCCTGGTTCC